AAAATTAAAAAATTTCTCTAATTAATTCTAATTTAGTCCTAATTTATTATTAAAAGTTTATATTTTATTAATTTGTAGAGAAAATTTTTTTTAATCAATAAGAAAATCGATTTTTCTCATTCATTTATTTACTTCCGGTGAATAAATTTCATCAAATAGCTTGATGAGTGCATAAATGAATTTTTATAAAAATTAGTTCCAAAAATTTCCGACAGGTGGCGTATGGTCGTTAAATTTTCTCGCTATTAGAGAGTTAATTTTTTAAATATAAATAAAGAACAAAATTTTTTTTTTTACTATTTTAAAGAGCCTGTTCATTCTAATTTATTATTAAAAGTTTATATTTTACTAATTTGTAAAGAAAATTTTTAATCAATAAGAAAATCGATTTTTCCTAGTAACTTTTCAGCCGTACTAACTTCTATCCGGGTCAAATGTTGTTTTAATAGTTTTAACAACAAATTTATTTTATCTTTGTTATTAACTAACATATTTATTATTATAGTTTTAAGAACAAATTTTGTTTATGTTCGTTATTAATTAACACCTAAGTTTATCAAGATCGTGTTGTCAGCATGCTAAATCCTTTATTTGTCTTTTTTAATTATCCTAAATAATTTATAGTTAAATATATAAACAATAATGTTTCTAAGGTTGAAATAATATAAAAGTCTTTTAAATAAACAACTTGATGTAGACATTTTGTACTTGTCCCACCAGTCACAAATGCCTGTCCCACCAGTCACAATAAAAAAAATTTTTTTAATTGTTTCTACGTAGGTAATCAGTCTAATTCTTCATAATATTCAATGTTTGTAGGATAAATTTTGTATTTTCGAGGGAAGTATTTTTTTTTAGTGTAGTGGTCGAACTGATAATTGGACTTTAAGTATACCTTTGGTAAGAGAGAAGGATTTGTTGTTAGTCCCACCAGTCACACTCAGTCAAATGATAATTACGAGAAACTTAAAAAGTAATGGACGGTTTTTGACAAAGAAATCTTAATTAGTTATTCTTCTGTATAAGATAAATTTTACTATGGTATAAATTTCAGTCAAATAATAATAAAAATTTGTAATACCTGGCATCCCTCAAATCGTCCTCAGTAAAATTAGACGTACAAGTAAATCCCCCCAGACCAACATACCGATTAAGATTGGTCGCCAAGCTGCAGTCAATATTTGGAACACAAACGTCCAAAAAATGGGGCCTCAGTCTCCCGACAGTTAATTTAATAACATCGTCGATCAGCACTGTGGTTATTCCCCCGATCAAGTAAGTCCCTGCCTTAAATTAAATAATTTTAATTAAATAAATATTAATCATTTTTTTATTGAAGATGATGAATCTTACTCTTGTACATACTCATAATAATTACCTTGTGGTAAATTAATGTAATCCAATTTGGCACTTTGAAGGTGAGTAATTGCTGAGATGACCGCGTTTTTCGGGCGTGAAAAATTTCCCCGATAATAATCTTTTTCAATTAAGAGTAATTATGATTATTAATTTTTTTTAAGTGACACAAAATTAATTTTTATTGAGATTAATTTAATTTCTTGTTTTATACCTACCAAAGATAAAAAAAATTAGAGCAATAATTCCAAGTGTTAAATTTGATATTGTTTCTTTTTCAACACGTGGGTACATTATTGATTGGTCATTGCAGAAAAATCCTCTATTATGCGGATCGATGTAAAAATTCGTCGGGATTAATGCGGCAGCCACTGAAAAAAATAAAATTTTGGTTTATTAAATAATGAATTTTGTTAAATTGCACTGAATTTTCTTAAATATTGACGGTTTTACATATATAAGCTCATCTTGATGTTACACTTATCAAGAGCTTTCATTTGAGTACCCACATGCATTTTTTATATATTTTTCATATATACATATATATAGCATATATTTTAAAGATATAAGCTCATCCTGATGTTACACTCATCAAGAGCTTTCATTTGAGTACCCACATGCATTTTTGATATATTTTTTATATATACATATATATAATATATATAAATATATGAAAAATTGATGTGGGTACTCAGATGAAAGGTCTTGATGAGTGTAACATCAGGATGAGCTTATATCATTAAAAATGTCAATAGTTTACGAGATACAAGGTCATTTCTTAATTATGTACCTAGAGATAGAGAATTAATTTTTTTTTTAAATAATTTTTTACAAAAAATAAAAAGTTAACTAAAAATAAATTTTTTTATTAAAAATTGGCGGTTTAAAATTGCAAAAAATTTATTTTTTAATTTAATTAATTTTATTTTAATAAAAAATTTGTTTATTTTTAATGAAAAAAATTATTTTACTTACAAATAACAAGACACAAAATTTCGACGGAAATTTTCGCGAATTTTGACTCACTCAGCCCGATCATTTTTCTTAATTACAATTTAACTTGCACTAATTAGGTCATGAGTGATTAAATTGAATTTTTAATCAGTCAAACGAAGAATAAAATCAGATCCACAGATTCGGTAGAATCTGGCGCCAAGTTCCGTTCAAGTCCGTTGTCAACGGAGCGCCAGACTACCGACTGTGTTTACTGTAAGCAGAACGGTATTTTGAGGTTGCAAAATTTTATTTAATTCTACGGTACTTTTTTTTCCTAAATTGTATATTATAACAGTAATTCATACTTTATTTGACTGTTATTAATTAATTATATTCACTTATAACAATTAATCTACTTGAAATTACTAAATTTGATCAGCACAAACTATAGCAACGCAAAAATTTCGATCCTGACTTTTTTTCGATGGGCAAAGTGATCTGCCACAGACTAAATAATTCGAGAATGCATAGTAATCCTTCATAAGATGGGAAACTACAGTTAAAAAAAGATATTTCACAGCTTGCATATACACCCGCCAGGGTGCACTGGAATTATTTTTACATAAACTGTAGCTTCAAGGGAATAGTTTGCTATAAAAAAATGCAGCCAACGCGAGATTTAAGTTGATACCAATTGTAAATTTTTATTATAATTACAAAAAATACTAAAATCCGAACAAAAACAGTTTCACTGTAAAAAAATCGCGCCAAGTCCACGTTCATAAGACTATTAAGAAAAAAAAATTAGTTTTTTCTTTACAAAAAGATATAAAATAAAAAAATTAAAAAATCCAAGTAACTGATATGATTGTTTATGATTTTCGGAAATTAAAAAAAATTTTGTTGTAAATTTAAAAATTAAAAAAACAATTTTGGAACGTACTTGGTGTGCGTCATATTGTGCATTTCAATTTT